ACCGACGGGACACCCATTGGGGCACCAACGGGACACCGATGGGACACCGACGGGACACCAACGGGTCACCAACGGGACACCGACGGGACACCACGGCGGGACACCGACGGGGCACCAACGGGACACCAACGGGACACCGACGGGGAACAACGGGACCGACGGGACACCGACGGATCACCGATGGGACATCATGGCGGGACACCGCCCAGAACCGCACGCTCATCGGGGGGCGGATCGATAAACGGCTCTCGTCCCGCCTTAGCCACAGCCGAATCATTCCCCTCGCCCGACCACGAAACTTCGCCTCGCCCGCACGCGCGACACGAACCCGAAACCAAAACCGATTTCCCGGTGGGGGGCTCTCCGATCCACCTCGATCTCACCCTCCAGCCTCCAACTTCCTAGCCAAGGGTAGCCCTGCTGGTGGTGTTGGCGTCGTTTTCCATATTTTACAAAATTACGTAAACATCACCTTTCGGATGCCCGCACAGATGCTTCGGGTCGGCGCTGGACATCCCTCCCCGCACCGCCCCGGCGCGCAGGGAGGAACGCGGGGGGCACCGGTGATCCAAGCAGGCGCGTAGACTGTCGAGAGGCGGCCGAAGCGCCGAAAAACTGCCCGGACCCGGGACCCCCTTTCCCTTCGTGGCGATATTTGTTGTGCCCTCGGCTGCTAGCGGCGTCGGTGCAGTTATTTCCCCCTCGGAGGGCGCAGCGGGCGGCTCTCCTCAGCTGCAGCAGCTCATCTATAACCTTCGGCGGGGCCGCGCGCAGCACTCTGCCCGAAGGCTTCTGCCAGAACTCCGGGCCCTTGCTGCTGCTCCTCTTCCTCCTCCTCCTCCTCCTCCTCCTCCTCCTCCTGTGTCCTCCTGCGTCCTCCTGCCGCTGCTGATCGCCGTTGTCCTCCTACCGCTCCTCGTCACAATCCTGATCATCATCCGTGCTCCTCTTCCATCCCCCTCAGCTCGCCATCCTACCTCCGCCTCCTGGTCCCTCCTCCTGGGTCTGGGTCCTAGCGCGGCGCACCCACTTGGGGCGCGTAGTGGGGCGTGGGGTGGTCTCGGTTGCCAAATCGGGGCTATGGCAGCGGGGCAAGTACCCAGCGCCCGCGCCCGCTCTTGGGGGAACCGAGTCTCGCTCCTGCGGCACAATTTTAGGGCCGGCCTGCCTGGGGGCCGCGCCTGCATCGGCGCCAAGTGCCTGGGTGCTAGGGCGGCAGCACTTGCACGCGTGCCACCTCCTCGTCCCCTCAACTGTGTCCTGCCTGTCTGGGGACAGGGAGAGCAGGCGCCCCGAGAGGGGCGACGGGAGCAAGGCGCCCAAATGGGGGCGACTGAGAGAGAAACCGTGAGGGGGGCGGCGGAGGAGACGACGGCGACAACAACGATTCCGACCAACTTGCGAACATGTGATCTAACAAACTGAGTTGACTTTTGTTTGTTTCTTCCTCCCCTTGCACCCGCCCGCTAAGCCTATGAGCCCCCCCCTCGTACCAGCACATGGGAGAAGCACTCAGCAAAGCAATCCGCGTGTTCTGAACACAGCGCCGCTATGGCCGACATGCGAGCTAACGCGCCCGCGATTAGTGAATTTCGAGGAAAACCTCGGCCGTTCCTGAACTCTTCACGGCGTCTCGGCGCACAGCGGGAGGAAATCGACAGCGGGAGCCGCTGTCGTCGTAGCTGGGCTCTCACCAACTTGGATGTGTTGCGAGGAAGCCCTGGACGAGAGCGTCATTCCTGAGTCTGGAACCTTCTTAAGACATGGCGTCTCGGAGTAAACACGGGAAGAAATTTCGAGCGGAACAATTGTCGCCGTAGTTGGGCCTTCGCTATCTCGACTGAATTGTCCTGAAGTCTCGGGCGGGAGCGATATTCCTGAGTTCGGGGCCTCTCAAGCCACGGCATCTCGGAGTAAACTGGGGAACAACATGGAGCGGGAGCCGTTGGCGTCGCGCTTGCCCTCCTCTATACCCTTTCCCCCCTGCCTCTACTCCTCCTCCTCCTCCTCCTCCTCCTCCGCCTCCTCCTTCTCCTCCCTCTGCTCCTCCTCCTCCTCCTCCTCCTCCACCTTTTCCTCCGCCTCCTCCTCCTCCTCCTCCTGCTCCTGCTGCTGCTGCTGGTGTTGCTGCTGCTGCTGCTGCTGCTGCTGCTGCTGCTGCTGCTGCTGCTGCTCCGCGCGGGGCCCGCAGTGCGGCCTGCCCGAGCCTCTCGCGCCGCCACCTGAACTGGTGCCTGCCCTCGGAGCCCAGGCCCTCGCAGAGGGACAGCCTCGGCCGAGGGGGGATCACTCCACGGCCTCTGCCTGGGCCCCGTCCACGAACGGTCCTTGGTGCAGCGCGTGGTGGCCCCGTGGTAGTCCACGTAAATATCTTCTCACTGTCGCACTCCGAGGCCGGTCAAAAAGGCAGGCTGGGCGTTTCGCCTGAGACTTCCTCACCATGTATGATCCTGAGCCGTGGATTGAACAAGAGTTTTACGGATGGTGCGTCGTGTTCAAAATGTGGCTCTCGCCTGCGCGCCGCTCCTGGCGTAATTCAGGGTTTTCAAACGGCTGGTTTCTAACCGGGCACTTGCCCCAGGGACCCTTGTAGGGGCCTATGAAGAGGGAACTTGGAGAGAGAGGATGTATTGCAGTATCGTTGATGAATCCTTGGCTTGAACCGGTCCTCCTCCTCCTCCTCCTCCTCCTCCTCCTACCTGTCATATTCCTCCTCCCCCACCCCCTCCTCCCCTTCTCCCTCCTCATCCTCCTGCTCCTTCGTGCTGCTGATGTTGCTCGCCCTCCTCATCATTCGTTCGTCCTTCTCCCTCTCCTCCTCCTCCTTCTCCTCCTGCTTTCCTCCCCTCCCCCTCCTCACTTTATCCCTGTCGCCCCCTTGTAGGGCAACTTGGGCAAATGGAAACTGGAACTTCAAAGGGCAAGTGACCAGCACTGAGGCGAACCCGAAGCCACATGGGAATAAGGCCACCATGCCATAATGTAAATTGCAACGACTGGCAAAAGATGGCAATACCAGCCACTCTGATGCAGGCACTGGGTGGAGCGCCATCAAATCCTTCGAAGTACTAAACCCTCAATACTGAATGCAACTTACAACTCCGCCGATCCTGTCGGCGTGTGTGAGGGGGAACTCTCCGACAATCGTCCCGGGGTCTTCCTGGGAGTCGCTGTTTGAGTCAAAACTTGACTAGCTTCCCTACGGTCACTTTTGGCTGCCAACCTCGCTAATTCGAAATGGATCGAGCCATATCACAATCGAGTCGCCAAGAAGCCCCTTCCTTGGATCACTTCTCCCGAAGGTGTCTGTGTGTGTGGAGGAAGTTCGGGGGAGAGGGGTAGGGGGGGAGTCTCACCCATCCAACCCTCCTTGGGAGAAGCTTTCCCCTCCACCTTTGGGGTAATCTTCGGCCCAGTTTGGCTCTCTTTCGACAACTTAGGTCCAAGGCACCCAAGATGGCCTCGAAGACGGCCCGAGAGGGCCCCAAGATGACGCTTACGAGGGCTCCAAGAGGCAACAGCATCAATGACTGTCCAACAAGGTTTGGGATGATTTTAAAACTCTCTGTTGTTCGGTCTTCCATCGCTCCGAAAGGCCCACAAGATCGCCCAATGACGCCTCCACGTGCCCCACAAGGATCCCAAGGCGGCCCATAGAGGGGGATCACGAACTGACATTCCGGACCCCCCGCTCCAAGATGACCCCCGAGACCGCCAGCAGGCTCCCAAGAGCCAAGAGGAGGCCCCTAGAGGCCCCAACAAGGGCCCAAGGAGCCCTATACGAGGCTTCCGAGCGACGCCCTAAGAGACCCTGATGTGCATTCAAGTGGCATCTGGTCCACCACCCAAGCTTGGTGGCGAGACGGACCGAAACCATCTAGATAGAGGTGGCAAAGCGACCTGTCGATGCTCCCATCGCGGGGTGCTCTTCAAGCCGTTATGTGGGGTAGTCCTCGGCCTGCCTTCGTGCGCTCCTCGGCTCCCTCGCGGCCCGCCCGATCCCTTTTCAGGGTCGGCGGATCCAACTGCAAGGCCTCTCCAATACCCTGTGGGGAGCCCAACGCCAAAATTCCGGAATTGTCGAGGGTATCTCGAAGAACTCCTGGGGCGCCCCGGACGACCTTCCCCGATGCCAAGAGAGATTATTTTGGGAAATGTGTTTCCGACAATGGATCTGGTTTTCCCAAGGACGGTCCTGGAACCCTCTTGGAGGCTCAGGGCGCTGGCCCAAAAGAGCAATACATTAAGACTATCGCCTGCTCGGTCTTAAGAGCATCCGAGACGGCCTAAGGGGCCTCCAAGATCGCCCCGAGACGGCATAAGAACTCCAAAGAGGGAGCCAAGAGGCGACCAATGCGGCCCCACGAGTGGAATTACGAACTGACACTTCCAACCCTCCACCCCAAGTTTGCTCCAATATCTCCCCAGAGGCCCCCGAGGCGCCCCTAGGAGGCCACAAGATGCCCGCAGGAGGCCCCAAAGTGGCTCCCAAGCGCCCTCCAAGAGGCATCCTCAGAAAACAATGCACGCATCGAAAAAACACTCTGACACACAACCGAATCACGCGAATCACGGTGGCTGCATGGGCCGGAAGAAACATGCATACATACATACATCCACATCCACCCACATATATGTATGTTCATGTTCATATACGTATATATATACACGTATAAACATATATATATATATATATAGCAAGAAAGGAAAAATATACGCGCAAGCAATTTTTCCCACACGCACAAACAACTGAACTCCAACTCCACTCTGCAAAATCTCAACGGCCATGCGATTCAAAAAGTCGCAACACAAACTGGGTGCAACCCACGAGCCGACCTGCGATAGGCAAACTCATCAGGTGAACCGTGGCCCGAGAGAGAGCGAGCGCGTGAAAAGTAACGAATTACCCCCCCGCCCCTGCGCTGGCCGCATGCAAGAAGATAACTATGTAAAACGATGAGGCCCGCCTGTAAGGGTAGCATTTGCACCAGAGTGGGCATGGAAGGCTGGAGGAGGAGGAAGACGAGGACTGGGCAGAGTACACGAGATCGCCCAAATCGGCTTGCACACGCACAGAAAGGTGGAACACACACACACACACACACACACACGCACACACACACACACGCACACACACACACCACACACACACCGTTTGAGCTTGAAACGAAAGGGTAAGACCTTGAATGGCTGGCCCCATCCACTTGCTCCTCCATCCCCCTTCCGCTTCTCCTCCTCTTCCTCCTTTCATTTTCCCCCTTCTCCCCGTGCTCATTTTCCCCATCGTGCGAGAGGGGGAGAAACATGAGGGGGAATGTTTCGGGGGTCTCTGTGGAATTTGACCGTGGCTCCATGATGTTTGGTATAGATGGGAGTCCGAGTTCCACGGACCCCGAGAAACATCAAATATCGACCATCCGCCGAAGGCTCAGGCATCAACCCAAACATCGACGATCAGTGGCTCGGGTATCAAACATCAACCCCGGACCACCCCCGCTGTGAGTTGCTGAGCAGAGCCTTGAGTGGAATCCAGCAGCGTGGCGCCGAGACGCGCCCAGGGGGGAACACGTCTGCAGGCATCGATGCTCGAACTTCAAGGAAGAGATGGGGGGTAAGCAAGAGGGGTTGAAACTGCACGTGGGTGAAACAAGCGCCGCTTCCCTCCCTGGCAGCACCACAAGCAAAGTCTTGCCCACGCATCTCTCTGTGAACATACGCCCCGCGCCCGTGCCGAGCAAAGCTGTATCCTGGAGGTGGAGGAGAAACCTTTCCAAACAAGAACGGGAAGCGCCGCTTCTCTAAGGTTGCGCGCGCACGCGCGCATGGAGTTGCACCCAACGCGTATGTGTGCGCATGGGGTGTAATCGCTGGGATCCCCTGCATGCCCAGATGGTTGGCATTGGTAGATTATGCTTAGTGGTTGCTTGCGCCTGCTTTGGTCAGGTGCTGCGCCTGGCCTGTGCACGCGCGCGTGTGTGGCTCGGGGTGTGTCATGTATTGCGTCGTGTGGCAGTCAGCGATGGCAATGACACTGATGGTGATTGTGACGATGGCGATAACGATGATACTGTCCATGATGGTGACGATAATACTGATGATGATGCTGCTAATGCTGATGATGATTGTGGTGATGATGATGGCGATATGATGCTGATCATGATGATACTGATGCTGACGATGATGATGACGATGACGATGATGATGATGCTGATGGTGATGATGATCGCCTGTCCTGCGTGACGCTTGAACCCGCATGGCCGTTCTAACGCGCCGAGCTTTTGACTCGCATGGCCGAACGAATCGCTAGATTCCGCGAGCGAGCTGAGTAGCTCAGTGTTCCCGGATGTCTCGAGCGAGTACCTCTTGTTTAACAAACAGAATTTCAAACATGAAGTTTCAACATCTCAATGTTTCGAACATGTCCCCGACGAAACGCCTGTTTTGGGGGGAACCTTTCCGGACAAGAACGGGAAGCGCCGCCTCTCTGAGCTCGCGCGCGCACTTGCGCACGGACTTGCACCCAACACCAATGTGCGCACATGTGGTGCAATCGGAGGATTCTCTAAATGTCCCGAAGGTTGCCATGTATAGTGCGGGCTGAGGAGGAGGAGGAAGAAGAGAGGAAGGAGGAGGAGCAAGAGGAGGAGGAGGAGGAGGAGCAGGAGGAGGAGGTGGAGGAGCAGCACCAAGGAACCCCGGAGTTCTGACAGAAGGCTTCTGGCAGAGTGCTGCGGGGAAGGAGGAGACGGAGACGGAAGAGATGGAGGAGACCTCAGAGACGGAGGAGACCTCGGAGACCTCAGAAACCTCAGAGACGGGGGAGACCTCAGAGACGGAGGAGACCTCAGAGACGAAAGAAACCTCACAGAAGGAGGAGACCTCAGAGACGGAGAAGACCTCAGAGACGGAGGAGACCTCAAAGAAGAGGAGGGGCAGCAGGAGGAGGAGGAGGAGGAGGAGGGGGGGGAGGGGGAGGAGGGGGAGAGGGGGGAGAAGGAGGGGAGAGGAAGAGACGGAGACGGAGGAGATGAGGAGGAGGAGGAGGAGGAGAGGAGGAGGAGAGGAGGAGGAGGAGGAGGAGGGGGAGGGGGAGGAGGAGGGGGGGAGGAGGGGAGGAGGAGGGGGGGGGGGAGGAGGAGACGGAGACGGAGGAGATGGAAAAGACCTCAGAGACGGAGGAGACCTCAGAGACGGAAGAGACCTCAGAGACGGAAGAGACTCAGAAACCTCAAAGACGGAGGAGACCTCAGAGATGGAAGAAACCTCAGAGTCGGAGGAGACGGATGAGACGGAAGAGACCTCAGAGACGGAGAAGGCGTCCAACATGCCCAAGATTTCGCTGATTTTCTCGAATTTAGCTCATGTTCCGAGGATGTCTCGAACGAGTCGAACGAGAGCCTCATGTTGAACAAAAGACGTCTGAACCACACGGCTTCAACATCTCAATTGTTCGAAGATGTCTCGAATGACACGGGACGAGAGCGGGGATCGCCGCTTCTC